AGTCTGATCTAGTAATAAGACCCTGAACACCCTGTAGATCCTTCCCTAAAATACAAAAAAAAAAAAGAGTAAATAGACCTCAGCTTTATGCTATTTATATATTTTATACTGCACCATTTTGACATTCCTCAAAGAAAGTAATAAAAATGATAATACAATTGTAGCTAAATAACATGAGGTCTCCTAAGAAAAATAAATCTGTGATCTACAGCTGAATACAATCTCAAGCCATGAGCATCTCCTGTTTATAGAGAGGTCAAATCACAGAGCAACTCTTTTCACTTTTGTTAAAATCCAGTGGCTGATGTGCAAATCAAAAATAAAGTCAACTTTGTCAGAAAAAAGGGCCAATTAATGAGTCTTTACTTGAAAAATTAATGCAAACTGGGAAGTTTCAAAATTGTTCTCTTACACAGGCAAATGGTAAACAATAAAAACATAAGAATGGCCGCATTTGTTTCAAATGAAATGCAAGTAAAAGCTAATCTGAATGACTGAATTTATGTACATGTCTGATAATGTACGATACACAGATCCAGATACTTTCAAATTTCAATCTCCTGGCCCAGAAGAGCCAGCGCAATACTATGCGGTTACTTTCGCGTCCTGCTATCTTCCTTTTCTCATCTTGACATTGTAAATATTATTTTCTGCCCCATCTGCCCTTCCTAATCCAGAAGTCTTTACCGTCAGTTAAATGTATGGTAAAAGTTGAAAACTATGGCTTTATATTCAAGAAAAAAATAAGAGAAATGATCCTAAAACCATTCCATGCAAAATTTAAAAAGTGTAAGAACAAAATATGCCCATAAGTAGACCAGAGTGGGAAAAATCTCCTAGTAATCACAGTTTGACCTGTTTATTTAAGGACATATGTATAAAAATTTCTTTCTTTTGCTTAAGAAAGACACATAGCAGGCCACAGCAGCACAGTGACTTAGCCACAGACTTAGCTATTATTGGCCTCATGAAGTTCACAAGATCCAGTTTGGAGATGGTTAGAGGAAAGGAAAGAGACACAACACGAGATCTGCAGTGAGGAGTTCTTGGTAAAGATGGACACTTTCCATGGAGGGAACTACAGGCCACTTCGGATGCTAGCAACGCACTGCTCTTTCCAAAGTGCCTGAATTTAAGTTCTGCTCACCAGAGGAGGAGCAAGGGAATGTAAATCAGGCAAGACAGAGAAGTAGTGCCAGGATGAGGCTGGGGGCAGTACGGCCCTCGGAGGGTGCACTGCAGAAGGTTCTGCCCCTGTACAGCCCTAACAATGAGGATCCCGAGGAACAAGGCTATCTTCACTGTAGTCTTTATGATGTATTACTATTATTATTATTATTATTATTATTATTAATCATTGTGTGTGTATCTATGTGTGTGGGACCAGGGATTGAACTTGGGACTGTGCACTTGCCAGGCAGGCACTTATGCTGCTGAGCTATCTCCCTGGCCCATGATGTGTTAGAATTGATTCCAATGGTCTAGAAATGTATATTAATCACAGGTACAGTCAGTGCTATTTTGGAAAAAAAATTACAGAAATACAAAAGTCTATATTAATTGAAGTCTTAAACACACAGTGTCTCCACAAGATAGATGCACAAGAGAACTGCTCACACAGCAGCTTGTATGTGAGTGTTAACAGCACTGTTGTTCATATATCCCAACTGCAGAAACAAACCACACGTCCCACTACTGAATGGGCAAGAAAAACGCCGTCTATCCACACAATGGAATGAAGCCCACACTCCTGAGAAAAGGAATGAAATTCTAGTTTATTCCATAGTCTTGATAAAACATGAAAATGTTAAGCAAAAGGAGGCACAAAAACCTTTATATTTCATGAGTTTATTTATCATACAAAAAGAAAATCCAGAGAGAGAACAACCAGATTAGTGGTTGCCAAGGCAGGAGGCTGGCAATGGCAGAGATAAGATGTGAGCTCTTATCCACATCTAGGAGTTCTTATCTAATAGACAGAATGGTCTAGAACACTGAGAATACTTTTCTAATATTGCAAATATATTAAAAACCCAGCAAATTGCATTCACTAGAATAGTGAAGTGCATGTTATTGTGAAGTGTATCTAAATAACATTTTTAAAATGAAGAAAGGTAAGAATCTGCCCACTTCGCTCTCATCGCTAGAATTTATCAAGTTCCTCTGAAGTTGCAGACAATTTATAAATGTTTCATTGTATGCAATACCCAAAATAATACCACAGGAAATATTTTGCAGATAATGAAATTAAAGGATGAAGAAGGCTAAGTATTTGGTGAAAGACTATTTGTAAGAGACAGAGCTGAGCTTATAAAATCAGGCAGTCTGTATTGCAGGCTTAATTACCAGAAGTAACCACAATTAACAGCTGGGACTAGATATACTCCCAAATAATTTTCATTAGAAGGAAGAGATGCAGGCTCATTTAACTACTTACTATGGTTGTTTCTGCATTCAAAAACCAGGATAGTAGTGGCATAGACAGTATGCCATAAAAGTTTTATACAATTCTTTACTGAAAAAACAAAGCTGATGCTATAAGACTTCCTTTTGTCAGTAAGCATCATGTTGAGTCTCCCACGTTTCTTAGATCTCCTTAATTTCTTTAAATTGCTACAGCAAGTGAAACAAGTGAAAAAGTGGCCTCTGTGGATTCTAATGTCACATTAACTATCACTCTTCTCACCTACTTTATCATCTCAAGATTGAGTCCCTCATAGGAAATCTTCTCATTCACAAGTACATGGAAGAGTAGAAGAGGAGCTACTACACTTTTGCCCTACAGGAATTACTGTGGCTGGCCTCTTCCCCTTGTGATTGAGGTATTTACTCTCTTCTTCCTTGGAAGCTGATGACTCTCTCAACAAGTATTTTCTCCTTGGGACTTAGCCAGTACCATGTTGCCCTACTTAGGAAAGCAGCTTTAACCAGGTTGCAAACTGAAGGGATACAGAAGGCGATGCTCAGCACTAGAAATCTCAGTGGAAGAGAGCTGGCCAAGGAAAGAATTTCCACTCGCATCAGGGAAATCCAACTTGAGGCTGAGCATTTCCTCCTCTGGAGACTCCTCTGTTGTGAAAGCAGCACTCGGAGTAAAGGTCTTCCACAGTGCAGAAAGATGAAAGAAGGAAAAGGCCTGCACACTTGTGGATAGAAAGTTCTAGCACGTCACAAAGAGTGACAGGGAAAGAAACTGGGGGTGAAGGTGGAGGTGGGTGACAATGGCACAAAGACAGGAGGATGTAATCTCTGACCTGATTTGTTATTATTGCTGTTGTTTTTTCCTGCAGTGTGATGTCCCTGATTTCATGGTCTCAGAACCATTATTACCATTAGCATTATTCACCCTATCCAAAAAGCCTCAAACATTTCATGCCATGACTTTCAGAACTACTGAATTCCAGAGAGTCAGTGAATGCTTTTGTAGGAATGGTTTCCTTACCGCATTTTTGCTAAATCTGTTGGGGATATAAATTTTATAATTTTTAAGTCTTGTTATTTAAATCTGAGATGAGAAAGAAGATGGAAGGGGAAGAAAGTAGGTAAAGGAAACATAAGGGAGAAAATAAAACAAAAGTTATTTCTTTAAAATTAGTTTTATAATTCTCTGTAAAAAAAAACAAAACAAAAAAGATTGGATGCTACACTACAGTCTACATTCCAGCAGCTTAATAAGTCATAAAAAAGACTTATCCACAAAGAAAAAAAGGGCAAAGTTATTAAAGCATAGAACTTCTAGATTCAGCTGGGCACTGCACAAGGCATATAGCACAGACACCCAGAAGATTTAGAGAATATGTAAATCTTTAAAAATATACAGTATCAGAGATGCCACTTCAAAAGAACAGATTATGAACCCAAGAAATGGGAGCAAAAAGTTCTGAGACCTTCCTCAGTCTGCACTTCGTGAGCTAGTCATACCAGTTTCTTCAGGAATGCAAGAATTATTGCAAAATGGCCAGGTTCTATAAACATACTACCCAAGCTTAACTTCACACCTAAGACAAAAATAATCTAAAAGAATTTCCAAAAATATTCCATCCTTTCACATTTTTCTTTTTTGTGGAAAAGAAGAAGTCTTCGCACTCACCTGCATCGAATCCCACACTGGGCACTATGTCCACGGTCCCATGAAAGGCTCCAGCCCACGCTGAGGCAGCAGTGGTGACTGCAGACGGATCTGTCTTCGCGATCTCACACTGAGGAGCAGGAATCCTGGCCGCACGCACGGACGGCATCAGCAGAGGCCCGTAGGACGGATCCAAGGCAGAGCCAGCGGCAGGGTGGTGGTGGTGCCGGTGATGGTGGTGGTGGTGGCGGTGGTGCATGTGGGTGTGAGGGTGATGGTGCCGCATGTACACGTCGTGCATGTGGCTGTAGGGTGGGCTCACCTGAGATGCCAAAGGGTAGTGCCAGGACTCAGACACAGGAGGGGGCGGTGGTGGGCCAGTCTGATGCAGGCTGTGGCCTGACCAGGGGCTAGGATCTGCTGCAGTAAAGGTGCCAGGGGGCGCAGTGACTTGGAAGTCAGGATGAACTCCCCCTAAACAAGGTGCAGGTGGGGGCTGGTATGAGCTGGTCCAAAAGGAAGTTGGGAAATTACTCCTCTGGCTTGTGAGAGCTGAGCTGTCTGAGGAGACAGAAAACACATTATTTTCATAAGATTCCATGCTGGGGTAGACCTGTCCAATCCTGTTTTACAAGCAAGTGAATTCATGCGCACTCTTTCTCCACTCAGGAGTGGGTGATAGCAGTCTAGCCTCTGGGCCAGCCTGTGAAGACCCAACCCTCGCCATTTTGTTTAGCTTTTATCAGGCCGGCAGAGTAGGCAATCTGGAGAACGCAAGCCCCATTTCCTTTGGGGACCTTTGCTGACAAAGGTCGTAGCAGAGATCACAAGCACAAACACTTCTCTCGTAAAGAAAACTTATGCCATCGACGAGGTAGGTGTAGACTAGAAATGATCATTGTACCAGTCTTTGAAGTCAGAGTACAAATTTCGCTCAAATCAAAACATTGCAATACCAAGTAGTGAATGGAAGCAGGATCTCCCTTCCTGTGCCCACCAACTTCTCCTCCCCAGAGAGATCTGGGAATCTCTACACTGATAAAGGTAATTACCTCCTAATGAGAGTAACCAAATGAATTTAGTCCCATGCTGACTGGAGGCACCTCATGAATGATTTATAAGGGCTTCACTCCAGCCCTAGGAAATCCGGAGGAACCTTGGCTCCCAAACTTGATTCTTCCCAGGATTCCAGTTGCAGACAGACGGACGAGAGCTCAAACTCAGTACTTAGATTCAGTGTTGGCCTTTTGGGCCAATTTGCTTCAGTTCTCGTCCAGTTAAGTCTTTGACCACAATCACTAACGGAGACACACTAAGGATCCCCATTTTAAAAGTTAGGAAATACAGAAAAATAAGACGCTTAGATTGACTTGGATTGCCAGGACTGGACGCTGGAGTGAGGCGGGTCACCTGGGTGGCCAGTGCACATTTGGGTCCTGCCATGAGACGGCACAATTATGACTACAACCAAAATATCTGTAAATTGTTAAGATTCTGTCAAAATTGTGAGTGGAGGGGCCTGGGAGATGGCTCAGTGGAATAAGCACTTCCCTGGCATGCGCAGGGGCCTGAGTTCAATACCCAGTTCAAAAAAAAAAAAAAAAAAAAAAAAAAAAAATCGTTAAGTGGAAGAGATTTGAGCAGAGGTAATATAGTTGAGGAAGATTTTAGATGAGATGGAAATAAAAAAGAATAGCATGATTGTATATGGAAAAAGGCGAAGTCTCCCCAATTCTGCCTCAATTCAGTGTGTCCACTCAATCCTGACGATATGCTTATGATGGCCTACTATGTGCCTAAAAGTGGGGTTACAAGCGGCCGGGGAGATGGCTTAGTAGGACAAGTGCTTGCCTGGCAAGGCAAGAGCCTGAGTTCAATCCCTGGTTCCACTAAATAAATAAATAAATAAATAAATAAATAAAAGAGGGATTACAGATGAATGAACACTCTCCAAAGAAAGGCATACAAAGAAAAAACAAATGCTGCAGGACGTGGTGAGTGTCCTCAGAAGAGTAAACAGAGAAAAAACACTGAATCAACCCAAGACACTGATAACTACGCCAAAGCCAAAATGTTCAGAAGAAGCTCGTCTGGTGAAGAGAAAAAACACAACTGCAGAAAAATAAAAGGATGAAAAAAAGATGATGTGCTTTACATGCACACATGCATGCACACAGCAGCAGGAGCAGCAGCAGCATTTGAATAAAATGTGTTTAGTAGCTAACACTGGGGAAAACAGAAGAAAACTTACAAGACTATAGAAATTGGAAGAACCCGGATGAGTCTGGATTTCTAGTAGACCAAAGTGGGATTTAACCTGTTCCTTATTATGCCTAAGATGTTTGAAATGCAGTGAGATAGTGAGGTTAAGCTTGATAGCCTAAATCGTTTGATAATAACAATAAGCTTGTCTTCTGGATGGTTAACAACCTAAGTTTGCAGACCAAAATTAGAGAAAAAGGAGGGCTACAAGGAAGCCAACATTTTGGCCCTAGCCTTCTAAGGTCAATTAAAATTCAGGACATATGAGAACTTGTACTGTAACGTCATGTACCTCGGTAGTGTCCCAAATTTTCTGATCAAGAAGATTATGGGGCCAAGGAGGAAAGTGATCGATGACGTAGTGTGTGCCTAAGGAGAGTCACATGGGGAGAAGACACTCTCTCAGGCATTCACAGAGAGCACATTGGCCATGCATTGGCAGTGACTCATCCACATGGCTGCACTGACAAAGGTTCTACAATCTGAGGTACAGGATCTCAGGATAAATCCTGAGGGCATTTCACTGACCTTCTCAGACCAAAAAGCTACAACTCTTGTTGCATAGGTCCTGCTTTACCTTGGTCTTAACCATCCAGTAGAAAAGTATGAAGACGAAATATAGGAAATAAAGCCATGCTGTTATGTTAAGCTGTGGGGGACTCAGGTCAATAATTTCTGACATTGCCAGTTAAACAGAAGACCCAATGCTATTATGGGCTACTGGACTCTTTTAGAATATTTTGCTGAGTTTACACACCTATAATATTCAATAACGGAACGTAGAAAAAATGAGGTATACCAATGAATGTCCATTTTGTATCTGTGTATTCAAAGTAGTGGGATAGATATATAGTTGCATTCTCTTAATGAATAGAATGATTTGTTCTAATGGTGTTTGTAAATAGGATCACAAGTCCGCATCTTGTACAGCAATTAACCACTAAGAAGAATATATGCAGTGTATTATTTGTTGAAACTGTACTTCCGATTTGATTTGAAACTGTCTCATTGCTATCTGTTTATCAATAAAACTTTGAAAAAAAAGTGGGATTTAATTCTGAGAAAAATGGCAATGGGTGGGAAAGGTTATTTTAGGAAGTTACCGACTCACATCAGTATTTGGAAAGATCAATCCATTTGCCCATAGTCTATTGCCAAAGGAATGTGAACCTCAACAAACCCTTCACTGATTTCTCAGCCTTCAGGGCGCCCCCTCACACTACCACAATTTAAGACCTCAAGTGGACATCTCTGCTGGTCTTTCTGTGGCTTACATGCTTACAACAACAACGCATTTTGAACTTATGGAATCCAAACTGTCTCTAGCTCAATATTGTTCCATGCAAGGTACTATGGATTATTTCTCTGAAGAGTATAGTTATTAAATATTAATTATGAATGTATGATAAGCCTGTTCAAATTGAATTGAACATCAAAAGGGCTTTGTTTTCCTTTCAGTGTAGGAGCCATGGCTAAGAAACCTTTACCTTCACTGCCTAAATTCCCAGGTGACATAGTTTTTTGGTATTTATTTATTTTCACTTCAGGTAAAGGTTAAATAATTTGAATCAACCCCTGCCTGCATCGTGAGGGTAACATGACTGGGCTTTCACTGTGGTGTTCACACAGCCCTTCTGTCATCACTAAAGATGAGAAGCCCTTCTTTCTCAGTCCTTCAGTCCCAGAACCATCATCCTCAAGTCTCCTCATCTGCACAGGGAGCTCACAGCTGGCCACAGGCTGCAGCCAGGCGACTGCCCCACAGAGCTGTCGAGGCTCTCAAACCCTCGTGGAAACCTGAAAAATGACATTCTTCAAGGGGCAAAGACGGAATTGCTCACCCGTCACGTCCTCCTGTGCTCTACAGGACGCTTAGATCAATGCCTTTACTTTTATCACAATCGATCAGAAGGTAGCACTTACAGTCAAGCTCACTGGCCACGTGGCCAACAATTCTCATTAAATGATTATCTCTCATTGGTATATGGAGAATGATAGCTAATGAACAAAGGAAAACTGTACATGTTACTACAGAAAATTCCACTTGCCTTAAATGATAGTATTTGCATACTATTTTTGTCATGCCCATAAAGCTACCCAGGTTTAAAACTTAAAGCCCACCCAGGAGTTTATAGAGGACTCTGAAAGTCACAGTGTGGCCTGGCTACTGTCAGTCTGTCCTGTGCTCTCGGAGTTCTCATTTAGGGCCATAAATCCTTCTTTCTGCCCATACTCCCACCTCTGGGTATAGCAGAACCTTATGTTATTGAACTGCAACCCACAAATATGTGTCAGAGACACATAGTTCCTGTTATTAAATTTTCCATCAAAATAGGAAAGGCAGAGTAGATACCATTTCTCTGGACGCTTCCCTTCGTTTATTTATATGTACATGAAACCAACCATTTTATAGATGCCTACGCATTTGGGATATGCACAAAAACATGAATACAAAAAGCATTACCATCCTAGTCAGGAAGCACCGTATTGTGATAGGTGAACACATTATCTCCGAAAGTAGAAATATATATTTTTAAAATGCACCCCCTAAAGATTAGATACAGGTTTAAAATCCTCCAGGGAAAGATAAACTTTAAAAAACTTTGTATTTTTTCAGTCTGTATATGTCTCCAGAGATCAATATAAAGTTTGCGAAATTTATGCATTTCTTTTTAAAAACACTGTTGGATTTTACAAGTAAAACAATACTGAATGGAAAGAAAATATGCCTGTGAAGACATCTATTTTAAAGAATCATTATTTGATATCTAGCTTTTTTAAAGAAAAAATCTTGACACAAAGAAATAGATGAAGTGCTGTGTTTGATGCTGGAGCTGGCGTGTTTTTGCATGTAAATACATTATTCATCGCACGCCACTGCCTATGAGCACGTAATCACAGCCACACTGTTGGACGAGAAGGCACGTAACATCCGCAGGACCCATTTCTTGTTATCTGACTTTTCAGCTTAGTGGATACCATTCAGAACTGCATGAAATTAACACTTTCTAGTGACTTTGGATTCAATATTCTTCAATAGTTGGGCAATATTAACCCAAATTTGGACGATGTCCACAAAGCAGTCTAACACATACCAAAGTATGTGCTATGTAATTTGGTTCTGTTTGCACTGCTATTCAAGAATATCACACAGACACAAAACACACACGTACACACACACTTTATTTCCAACCTCCCCCAAGTATTAAATCAATGTATTTTTCAATACAACCTGCTCAAAGTGTACTAAGTAATCTCA